TGGAAAATCTGCAAATGATGATTTTAAAGTGTTAAAGAGCAAAGATGTCTGTTTGAAGACTAAGGTGTGCCTTACACAAGCCATGGTATTTTCAATAACCTTATATGCATTAGAAAGCTGGTCAATGAATAAGGAAGGTCAAAGAAGAATTGAATTTAATTGTGGTGTTGTTGAATACTGAAAATATCATGGACTGCCAGAAGAACAAACAAATCTGTCTTGGAAGAAGTACAGCCAGAATGCTCCTGAGAAACAAGAATGGCCAGACTTTCTCTTGCATACTTTGTTCATATAGTCAGAAGGCACCAGTTCCTGTAGGAGGATATCTTACTTGGAAAAGTAGGGTCAGTGAAAAAGGGAAAGACCTTCAATGAGATGGATTGACACAGTGCCTGCAATGATGGGCTCAAGCATAGCAAAGATTGTGAGAATGGTGCAGGACTGGACAGTGTTTCGTCCTGTTGTACATGGAGTTGCTATGAGTAAGAACTGACTTGACAGCATCTAATAACAACCCTCGAACTAGTGATTTGCCCTCCCTTCCTCTTATAACATTGGTAACCTTTAAAGAGTGATTCTTTTTGCGTGTAAACATGGTGTGCATTCATCTGTTCATGTCACGGCTCATTTCTTTAGAATATATACTTAGTAGTGGGATTACTGGGTCATGTTGTTGTTCTTCTTATTAGGTGCCACTCAGTTGGCTCTGAGTCATAGCGACCCTGTGTACAACAGCACAAAACACTGCCCAGTCCTGCGCCAGTCTCAAAATCCTTGCTATACCTGAGCCCATTGCTGCAACCACTGTGTTATTCCATCTCTTTGAGGGCCTTCCCCTTTGTTGTTGACCCTGTACTTTATGGACTATGATATTCTCCTCCAGGGAATGGTCCCTTCTGATAACATGACCAAAGTAGGTGAAAGGGTGAAAGGAAATCTGTCCAGTCTCACTTGCAAGGAGCACTCCAGCTGCACTTCTCCCAGGACAGATTTGTTAGTTCTTCTGGCAGTCCATAGTATTTTCAGTATTCTTCAGCAACACAACTCAAAAGCATCAACTCTTCTTCGGTTTTCCTTATTCATTGTCCAAGTCTCACATGCATATAAGGCATAGGTTGGGTTAGTCACACCACAGTCTTCAAAGAGTTATCTTTGCTCTTACATTAAAGAGGTCTTTTTCAGCAGAATACGTTGTCTGATGTCTTGACTGCTGCTTCCATTGGAGTTGATTGTGGAACCAAGTAATATGAAATCTTTGACAATTTCAATCCTTTCTCCATTTATTGTGATGCTGCTTATTGGTCCAGTTGTGAGGATTTTTGTTTTCTTTATGCTGAGAAACATTTTATGTAATCCAACTCATTTTATGTAATCCATAATGTAGACTGTAGTCTTCACTCTTCATCAGTAAGTGCTTCAAGTCATCCTCACTTTCAACAAGTAAAGTTGCGTCGTCTACATATTGCAGGTTGTTAATGAGTCTTTCTCCAATCCTGATGCCCCATTCTTTTTCATAAAGTACAGCTTCTTATATTATTTGCTCAGCACATAGACTGAATAAGTATGGTGAAAGGATACAACCCTGACACACTCCCTTCTGGATTTTAAACCATACAGTATTCCCTTCTACTGTATGAACAACAGCCTCCTGGTCTATGTACAGGTTCCTCGTGAGTACAATTAAGTGTTCTGGAATTCCCATTCTTTTCAATGTTATCCATAATTTGTTATGAGATTAATGTAGTTAATTTGTTATGAGATTAATTAATTAATGTAGTTAATTTGTTATGAGATTAATGTAGTTAATTAACTAATTGTTATTAATTAATTAATTAATTAATGTGGTTGCCTCAGGCACTACACCACCAGAGCTATGTCTTCTCCATTTGGAAGTTCTGTAGTTATACTATTTAGTCCTTCTTTTTGCTTTACAGTTGATGTCCCTTGTTCTCTATAGTCAGTCTTGGATGCTTATTTTAAGAATTCTTTTTCTGGGTGATGTTCTCATGTGTCTTAGGTTGCTGTCTTCTTTTGTTGGTACTCTGTCCAAGAGACTCTCTTTAGCATTTATTGTAACATTGGTTTGGTGTTTGAAAATTCCCTTAATTTCGATTTCTCTGAGGATGTCCTAATCTTGCCATTGTATATGAAGGACAGTTTTGCTGAATATATAACTCTTGGTTGGTTTACTGAGATTTTATAATTTCTTTTTTTATTTTGGTGACAAAGTTTATCCATTTTTAAAAAGGTTACCTTGTAATTTATTATTATTTTCCCCAAATTTAAAGAAGTCTGTGCTATTTTGATATTGACTTCCTTGACATTTGGAAGTTCTGTAATAACCAGCCACTCCTCAGAAGGAAGGTTGGGCAATCTACTTACATAGAGATACTGCCTCAGAAACCCAAGGAGGGATTACTATGAGTCGAATCCGACTCCACGATAGTGAGTTCAGTTTTGGTTTGGTAATTATGCTATTTATTCTCTCTTTTTGCTTTGTAGCTATTATTGTTTACAAAGTGATCTCTCTGGTTCCCTATTGCCACTCTTGTAAATTTATTTTTGATACTCCTATATCTGAGTTCATTTCCAGGTGATGTTTTCATGTGTCTTAATTGTGTGTATTTGGTAGCAGGAAGTGTGGGCATGAGTTTTTCATCACTGATTGTGCATAACAGCTGAGGGCAGGCTGGGTGGGTGCCGGCTGCCATCTGTTGTCCATCTTGTGGTGCTGGAGCAGGTAGTGGCACTCACCCAGTGGGTTGGGTGGCAGGTGTGGTGGGTATGGCTTAGTAGGGTCACTGCTCCCAATTGCTAGAGAAAGATAGAGAAAAAAAGGGGTGGGGGGAAGAGTATTAAAAAGAAGAAGAAGAAAAATATAAGGGGAGAGGGGAAGATAGAAGACCTAAGAAGAAAGAAAAAGAGAAAAATACAACAAAACAAAACAAATCCATGAGTCACAGTACTGGTATAACTGCTAGTTACCAAACATGGCTCTGGTAGAAATGTAGTATTCATGCAGGAGTGCACATCCCCCAACATGAACTGTCAGGGGAAGTGCTATTGAATGCGGAGGTGGTGGGGGTTAGGCACTCAGCTGGATAAAAAAGAACAACAACAAAAAAAAAGGGTTTTGGGAGGGGGAGGAAAAAAAACCAACCTGGGGAGGGGAAAAGACTGAGAAGGAAAAGAGTGGGTGAAGAAAAAAACTTGGCACAAGTGTTAACTACCAAACACAGCTACAGCAGGAACATGGAATTCTTTCTGGGGGAGTGCACACCACCATTCATGTAGTCATGGGGGCAGGAGCTGATCATATAGTTGGGGGCCAACCACCTATTCTGTGGGATTAAAAAAATAAGGGGGGGGGTACAAAGGAAGAACAAAAGAAAAGAAAGAAGAGGAATACAAGAGGAAGAAGAGGAAAGAACTAAGAAGTAGGGAAGAAGAAAACAAGAAAGAAAGGAAAAAAGCATCACAGTACTTGTGAAACTGCCAGTCACCAAACACAGCTGTGCAGGCCCAAAGAGCTTGCTCCATGGGAGTGCACAGTTCTGACAAGGGAGGGGCATGTGTGTGTGCTGCTAACCATATGGGCAGTGGGAGGAGGGGCTCCTGCTCTTTGAGATTAAAAAAAGAAAATGTGTAAGGGGAGAGGTAGGAAAAAAAGGAAAGGAAGAAAAAAGAAAAGAGGGAAGAGGAAGAGGGAAGAACTAAGCAGAAAGATTTTTTAAAAGTGGCACAGCACTAGCACTGGTGGGATTTTGGCAAATTGAGGGGTGCATGCCTTTCATCACCAGGAAGTTGTGTAAGGGGGAGATCACACCTCTCTGGTTGCCTGTTCACTGATGTGGTGCTGATGCAGTCCTGGGCAAGTGGAGCCAATTATCTGCTTCCTGCTCCAATAACCCCTGCACAGTCAAAATGGCTGCACTGTGTTTGCTGGCAGGATACTGTTTTCATTCAGTCTCTTCCTTGCATCAACATTTGATCTACTTCATCTTCTCTTTTGAAGCTCTGGGTTTTCAGGATTGTCATACATAGCCATTTCACTTGTTTTCTTCAGTCTTTGTTGTAGAGGTTTTGTATAGTGTTACCTGCCTAGACTACCATCTTGGGTCCTCTGCAACCATAAGGTTTCTTTTTTTATGTAGGAATTCTCCAGTCTGAATGATAGCTCAAGACCTTTAGACACTGATTATACTAAGATGTTTTTCCAAAGTAAATCAAATCATGTTGAGAACAATCTGAGGTGTTTAGCAAAAAATACCACACCTGGAAAAACTTTCACATGTTCTATGGCCAAGTAATCCCACTCTTGGGTATAAAACCAACAGAAACACACACAGACATACCAAAAGACACATACAAGAGTATTACAGCAGTGTTTTTCCAAAGATTCATGGAAACAATTAGTTCAAGTGATTGGTACACCATGCAATCCTCAGCGTATATGACTATGAGACCAGAAGAACTAGATGGTGCCCGGCTATGACTGTCAGCCACTTGGAGGGGGATCTATGTAAGAGATCCTCGATAGAGTGGGGGAACAATGTGGAACAAAACTCAAAATCATTTGGGGGGGAAAAAAAAGGGACCAGGTTTGTTGGTCTGATAAGAGCCTGATGGAACCACTGACACTATGGCCCATAGCTGTCCTTCAGGCCTGGCATTGAACCCACACCTGTGGCTTGCAGCCAAACAAAAGACAGGCATATGAGGTGAACATTTACACTAGGTAGATACACTCCTTGGAGAGAATAATCATGGGAGAATAGAAGGGCTGTTTATGCACAGGGAGACAGCTTAGGGGGCAGGGGTGAATGCAGGGATGGGCAGAGGGAAGAGGTAACTATGGGGAGGAAGTGGGAGGGGAGCTGTTGAATTGTAGTAAATTGTAGTCAGTGTCAAGAAACAAAGTGTATGTAAACTGCTGTATGGAAAGTGAATTTGCTCTGTAAACTTTCACCCAAATCACAATTGAAAAAACAAAAACAGTATTACAGCAGTGTTTTTATTATAACACAAAACTTAAAAAAATACAAATGTTCATCAACAGAATAGTATATTTTTAAGATGTAACAGTATACAGGATGAAAATAAATACATATTGCCATATGCAATAATATATGAATCTTAAAATAATGTTGAGTGAAACCAGACAAAAAATTAATGATGTATAATAAAATATAAAGATTTACAACATGCAAAAACTACTTCACAATATTTATACCATTGAAATAGTTATCTTTGGGGAAGTAACAACTATTTTTTATTCCACAGAGTGCAATAAGAAATACAGTTCATATTTTCTTTCTCTTATGGAGATTGGTGCTTACAATTATTTTATACCTTACCTCTGCTTGTGTGTGTGCATATGTATTTTTAAATAAACTATCTGATTCAGCAGTAGTTGAAAACTTAAAAAAATAACTTCATTGCTGATAGAATTTAGTAATAATAATTATACCCATTTTGTATAATAACCAATAGATAATTCAACTGATGACTGTTATTACACTTGTGATTAAAATTGTTATTACAACATGTTTGACCATGCTTTTTATTAAGTAAAAAGTTCATAATGACTTGAAAAGGCTTCACAAAGAAATCACATTACTTATTGCATTTCCATGTTTTCTCCTTTGTGAGTTCTCTGGTGGGCAATGAGGTTTCTCTTATAACTGAAGGATTTACTGCACTCATTACAAATATAAGGTTTCTCCCCTGTGTGTGTTCTTTGATGTACAATGAGATTTGTCTTCTGACGAAAACACTTCCCACATTCATTACATTTATATGGTTTCTCTCCTGTATGAGTTCTTTGATGATGAATGAGATACGACTTCCTGCTAAAGGCTTTCCCACACTGAGAACATTCATAAGATTTCTGCCCTGTATGAATTTTCTGATGCACAGTGAGGGTTGCTTTCTGGCGAAAGGACTTTCCACATTCATTACAAACATAGGGTTTCTCCCCTGTATGAATTCTCTGATGTAGATTGAGATTTGTCTTCTGACTAAAGGATTTTCCACATTCATTACATTCATATGGTTTTTCTCCTGTGTGAGTTCTGTGATGATCAATGAGGTATGACTTCATTCTAAAAGCCTTCCCACAGTGAGGACATTCATAGGACTTTTCCCCAGTATGTGTTCTCTGATGTGCTACTAGGGTTGTCTTCTGGCGAAAGGACTTCCCACATTCATTACAAATATAGGGTTTCTCCTCATTATGAGTTTTCTCATGGAGAGCAAGGGTTGTCTTCTGGGTGAAGGACTTCCCACATTCATTACAAATATAAGGCTTCTCCCCTGTATGAGTTCTCTGATGTACAGTAAGGTTTGCCTTCTGGTGAAAAGACTTCCCACATTCTTTACAAATATAGGGTTTCTCCCCTGTATGAATTCTCTGATGTAGAGAGAGTGTTGTCTTCTGGCGGAAGGACTTCCCACATTCATTGCATTCATATGGTTTCTCTCCTGTGTGAGTTCTCTGATGACGAATGAGGTGTGACTTCAACCTGAAGGCATTCCTACATTCTGGACATTCATATGACTTCTCCCCTGTATGTGTTCTCTGATGATCAGTAAGTGCTGTCTTTAGGCGGAATGACTTACCACATTCATTACAAACAAAGGGTTTCTCTCCTGTGTGAGTTCTCTGATGATCAATGAGATATGACTTTCTTCTAAATGCATTTCCACATTGAAGGCATTGATAGGGTTTTTCTTCTGTGTGAATTCCCTGATGCAGAATCAATACTGACTTCCTGCAGAACGATTTCCCACATTCAGGGCATGTATGTTTTTTTTCAATATTGGTTGCTCTTCTCCTTTTACTATATTCAGATAGATTTCCCCCTCTGTAAGTCCTATTATGTGTAATTAAGACTCCCTTTTTAAGGAAGGATTTCTCGTGTTCTTTATATCCAAGTGATTGTACTGGAGTTTCCATCTTCTGATACTGACTAAGTACTTCATTATGACTGAGAGCTCTCCCACTTTGTTTATAGGATTTGACTCCAGGATGAGATATCTCTTGTTTAGTACTGAGGAATGATTTCCCATATCCATTACATTCACTAAGTCTCTTTCTTGCAGGGCTTAGATTATTGATGATTAATTCTGAAACATTTTTCAAAACTGTTCCAGGAGTACCATATTCAGAGGGGAGATTTTTTAAATTAATAGGATTTTTGCTTAGAGTAAATGTCTTTTCGTATATATTACCTTTCTCCTTAATCAGTTTTTTGTGGTTGATGAAAACAACTGATCTAGAATATTTATCTTGGTGTTCTTTGGATTTCATTAAGAAGTCTTCAGTTTTCCAGCTTTCTTCTAGAAAAGAATACAATTAATAACAATTTGTGAATCTTCATATATTTGTTACGGAAAGGAATTGTACTAGGACTGACTGGTTTCAGGCCTAGCATATGAGGTAAAAATGAACCCAGGAAAAATGACTCTCTGGCTGGGAAGAACCAAAAACCATTATCAAGAACCCTACTTCATTGAAAAAAAGGCAGAAAAAAAAAAAATTAGTACCTTTTGCCCCACAACTTGTGAAATGAACAAAAGAAGCAGAGAGCATAAGACAAAGAATAGTAGAAGAGGGACTATTTCATGGATAGGTGAACTCACAGGCCTATCAAGAAAGGGCACTGAACTGTTAAGTAGGATGGCCAAGAAAAATTTGTTGAGAGAATAAATGAGAAGATAGATTACTTTTGGAGGGCATAGATCAGAAACTATAGTTTCATATACTCACACATAGAATAATGTGGTGAAACACTTCTAGGTTTTTCCTCTTTCTTTTTATGTCACCAACAATGGCAAATTAATTTTTTCCAGGATCAATTTTCTAGTGTTTAGAAAATAAGTGGACAGTCTAGAATCTAGTCCTCTATATAGCTAGAGACATTTTGTCTTGTAAGGCAAAAACATTTCCAACAGGGACTTTAATATATTTACTGCTGCATTCAGATTACTGCTACTATAAACTGAAATTCTCCCAACCATCAATTTTAACTCTTCCTATTTTCAATTTGCTTGGTTTTCTAGGATTAAGGAAAGACTGGTTAAAGTCTTCTCCCAATGCAGTAACAGTCCTTAACTCCAGTTTTTCATATGGCGGAAGACAAGGGTCAGATTCACTCATTAACCTTAACTTGCACTTTTTTTCTTTAATAAATGTATAGCTATACTTCACTTTTGTTACATTGCTATCATCCACATGTAGTAAGCAATGTTAAAACTGGGCTCTAAAATCATCTTTTTCTTCCTTGAGTCTATTACTGCCTAACATATAAGGAATTTCTTCTGTAAACAAAACTTTACTTCAACCTAGACTCACTTTTAATACACACATTTTCAAGCTTGTTTACATATCTGACAAATCCCACCCATGACAAATAATATCTTCTGTAGTCAGACCTAGTACTTATTGATACATAAATACCTCAGTCATTCTTAATCACAAACCTCTGGTCATGTTTTTTTAATCAGCTTGCCTTCTAGTCTTACTTCTACTCATATTTAGGAATGCTTCACAAAACTGCTACTGCTCTATGATTTTGTAAACCCTTCAACACTCCCAACACTATTTTCTTTGAAATGTGAAAATAATTATGGTCTGAAAATGTATTTTAATAATTCTTTTCATAACCTTGTACTGGAATCATAAAAATACCCTCCCCCCTGCCCCTGCAAAAATATATATAGGTTTTAATATATCTATGTTCATAGAAAGACATATTTTATTGGTTACCTCCATTTCAAGGCCGGGCCTGAGGTAGGCAGGTGAAGGGCTCAGGGGCTGTTTTTTGCTTGGGGTGGCTCTATTGTAAGGCCAGGGCCCGAGGTAAGTGGGTGTGGGGCTCAGGGGTTGCTTTTTGCTTGAAGGCAACTTTATTTTAAGGTTGGGAACTGGAGTAGGTGGGCATGGGCTGGGGGATTGCTTTTCACCTGGGGGCAGCTCTATTTTAAGGCCAGGGCCTGAGGTAGGCAGGTACAGAGCGGTTAGGAACAAATAAGGAAGATAAACTTGTTTATCAGTTTGTCGTCCTGTGGTGGCATACGTGTTGCTGTGAGGCTGGAGACTATGCCACCAGTGCTGCAAAATACCAGCAGGGTTACCCATGGTGGACAGGTTTCAGCGGAGCTTCTGGACTAAGACAGACTCAGAAGAGGGAAGAGGCCATCCACTTCTCAAAGAATTGGCCAATGAAAACCTTATGAATAGCAGTGAAACACTGTCTGATATATTACTGGAAAACTTAATGAATAGCCATGAAACATTGTCTGATATAGTGCCAGAAGATGAGCCAATGTTGGAAGGCACTCAAAATTTGACTGGTGAAGAATTGATTCCTCAGAATAGAGAATCTTAATGATATGGATAGAATAAAGCTTTCAGGACCTCCACTGGCTGATGTGGCATGACACAAAATTAGTAGAAACAGGTGCAAACATCCATTAATAATTGGAACATGGAATGTATGAAGCATGAATCTAAGAAAATAAGAAGTTGTCAAAAATGAAATGGAACACATAAAGATCAATATCCTAGGCATTAGTGAGCTGAAATGGAGAAATTTTGGCTATTCTGAATCAGGCAACCATATAATCTGCTATGCCAGGAATGACAAATTGAAGAGGAATGGTGTAGCATTCATCGTCATAAAGATTGTTTCAAGATCTTTTCTGAAGTACAATGCTGTCAGTGATAAGATAATATCCATACACCTAATACTACTACTATTATTCAAATCTATGCACCAACCACCAAAGCCAAGGATGAGTAAATTGAAGATTTCTACCAACTTCTGCAGTTTGAAATTGACTGAACATGCAATCAAGATGTATAGATTATCATTGGTGACTGGAACACAAAAGTTGGAAACAAAGATGGGTTACCAGTAGTTACAAAATATGGCCTTGGGGATAAAAATAACACTGGAGATCTCATGATAGAATTTTTAAGACCGATGACTTATTCATCGCAAATACCATTTTTTCAACAACATAAGTGACGGCTATACACGTGGACTTCACCAGACAGAGTCACAGGAATCAGATTGACTATTATCTGTGGCAAGAGGCAATGGAGACATTCAATATCTTTGGCCAAAACAAGGCCAGGAGCTGACTGTGAAACAGACTATCAACTACTCATATATACATCCAAGTTGAAGTTGAAGGCAATTAAAACAAGACCATGAGAGCCAAAATATGATCTTGATAACATCTCTCCTGAATTTAGAGACCAACTAAAGAATAGATTTGATGCATTGAACACCAGTGACCAAAAACCAGAGGAATTGTGGGATGACATCAAGTATATCATCCATGAAGAAAGCAAGAGGTCATTAAAACGATAAGAAAGGAAGAAAAGACCAAAATAGATGTCAGAAGAGACTGTGAAACTTGTCCTTGAGTGGAGAGTAGCCAAAGCAAATGGAAGAAATGACAAGATAAAAGAACTGAACAAAAGCTTTCAAAGAGCACCTTAAGAAGACAAAGCCAATTACTATAATAAAATGTGCAAAGACCTGGAGTTACAAAACCAAAAGGGAAGAACAGGCTCGGCATTTCTCAAGCTGAAAGAACTGAAGAAAAAATTTAAGCTTCGAGTTGCAATACTGCAAGATTCTATGAGCAAAATATTGAATGATGCAGGAAACAGCAAAAGAAGATGGAAGGAATACACAGAGTCACTGTACCAAAAAGAACCGGTCGATCTTCATCCATTTCAGGAGGTGGCATATGTTCAAGAACCAATGGTACTGAGGGAAGAAGTCAAAGCTGCACTGAAGGAATTGGTGAAGGACAAGGCTCCAGAAATTGACAGAATACCCATTGAGATGTTTCAACAAATGGATGCCCCGCTGGAGGTACTTACTTGGCTATGCCAAGAGATTTGGACAACAGC